CAATAATAAATCAAGAGTAATCAGCTGATGAAGCTGTGCAGTAATTCAGGGGGCGGTGGCGCGGGAGGGAGAGAGAGAGAGAGAAAGATGGGAGAGGATCTTTGGCAGGGGTCCCAGCCGGAGAGAGACGTAAAGCGACTGGAACTTACGCATCCTATATTGCCGTCTTCACGCCTACATGCCTGTTCCGCGCGCGGCTACAGGCTACAGGTGGATGGATGGTGATTATACGGACTAGTCAAACGGATTATTGAGAAGGAATAATAAAAAAAATAAAAAATGTGCGCCTAATCATTCACGACCGTTTCTTCGTTATTAATATAATGAATAGGTATTTGGTTTAAATAAAATATTATTTGAGAATAAATTCATGTTCGCTTTTATAAATGTAATTCACAAGATTCAAGATGCATGGCGCGTGATTCATTGCTGTTTTCGTCTTCGAATCGCTGGGGATTGTATATGTATACCATTCAGAGCCTGTAATTATTTGGCAGCTGCGCCCGGTGAGGTCACAAGACAGTGAAATAACAGCAATCGAACAACCGCATAGTAGCAGTTTATGGGACCAACAAGGAAGAGGCGGTTTTCAGTTGACCGGTATGGGAAGAAGGGCAATGGCTATGCATCGCAGAACGTACGTACTGTGCACCCGACCAGGCCGCGGGAGTTCCGACTCGTTCACTTCACGTCGCAGCCCGCAGCCTCTCCCAATACAACGCGCGCCGCCAAGCCAAGCGCCGCCAAGCGCGCTGCGCTGTGCTCCCGCGCACACTTTGCTCATGGGCCACTTGGAGAGCTATTCATTAGCACCCTTCCCGTGTGTGCAGAAGGGAGAGGAGGGCGTCAACGCGCCGGCCGTGCTGCGTGCCGCGGGGACGTCTGCGAGCAGCACATGTGCGCCGGCAACGGGAAGGATAGTAGGAAGGAATTTACGCCAGAAAACTGATTTAAGTAATCATTAACAAAACGCGGGCGATGCGCGACGCGGTCGCCTCCTTTGCCTGCGCCGCCCGTTTGAGTGAAACGTTATACATGGAAGTGTTTTGAGGATCACCCCCGCCCGAGACGCGCAGACCGGCGATATGTTCCCGCGTCCAGCAGCAGCACGGCCAGAGCGGTAAAGCTGGAAATGAGCGCGCGCTCCTTCCCTTCCCCCGACTTCTGAGAAACACCAGAGAGGAGGATTATTAACGCGTTATGATGATCGCGGCACTCCGCCCCGAGCAGTGCTGCCCAGAGGTGCTGCCCAGAGGTGCTGCCCGACCCGACACTCACCCGAATCACGCGTGACCAAATGGAGTCGTCGCGCAGACGGGTAATAATGGCAAACGCCAGAAATTACCAGCCAGGGCAGCAAGCGCTTCTGCTTCCATCACAATCATTTTATTTTACCCAAGCTTTTACTCCAAGTTTTCTACCGTCATGAATTTCGTTGTCTCAGCAGCAGAAAAGAGGTTCTCACGCCCGCCGTGTATGACCAGCCGAGGTGTCGGAACGAGTTGTATTTACATCCTGATTCTCCCGAGTAGCTTCCTCCACCTTCTCGCGCACACGGGGTTTAAAATGGTTCCTTATTCAAATTCCGCGCCGGGGAATGGCCAGGGAGTTTGGTGTGTTTTGTGTGACGTTGTTTCCTCTTCTTTTTTTTTTGCGCCGCGCGTATGCTCGTTTTGCATCGGGGCGGGGAAAGAGAGACGACGGTCATGAGAAACGTACTTTAGCAAAGAACGCTATGCGGCCGTTGAATTGCCCGAGCCGCTTCGAGCTCACCTCACCGCACGCACCAGAACGGTGCTTCCCTCCGACACCTCCCACCTGCCCGATTAACGCAAAATTGCCATGATTGCATGGTCTTTACGTTACAGCCCTTCAGACTTAAATATTTTCGGGTCGAAACTGTCTGGCGCCAGAGTGCGGGCGAGACCTAAGGGCGAAAGACGGGGCAGCTCCAGACGGAAGAAAAAAAAAAAACTTAACAGAGCCGTCACGGCGACAAGCCAAAATCAAACCTAAAAACCATCCCAGAGTCTTCGGTCTTAGTGCGCAAAACGCAAAAATATAGCTAAGCTTTGATATCAAAGATTGTTCCTCGCATACTTGCCATAAAGTAGAGTATTTTCTGCCACATGCAAACCGGAACTTGGAAATCATCACGGGTTCTGGATTAAGTCCCGTGGAAGAAAGAGTTACATGTTTTATGAATTGTCAGGCTCTTTTAAATGTTTGGCCTTTTCTTATGACGCTGATCGTAATCGCCTAAATAGCGTCCACAAGCATTTTCGATCGGTTTCGAGAGATAACGTGTTCGTTTCACACCTTTGGGCGCCTTTGGGCCCGCTGCAGTGAGGCGTGAGGAATTCATAATGGTAATAATAAGGTAATGGGCGGGCACGGGCGGACCCACCACCTATGAGGCTGCCGGCGACGCGTCTGAAAAACCACGGGGAGGAGAAAAAACAAAATCAGGAAAAACAGCCAGACGGCTTTAACGCGGTTGGCTTTTTGAGAACAGGGAAACCCTACACGGACTCAACGCATCTAAAATATACCAGCAGGGTGGCTGACTTACGCCGCCGCACACTTTCGTAGTTATACTGTACCGCATGCACGAGTGCAGGTGGGTTGCCTACTCGCACGGGGCCATGAGGAGCCGTGTGGGCAGCGAGGTTAGGCAAACCCCCCACACTCGTGCATGCGGTACGGTATGACTACGAAAGTGCGCGGGTATTTTTGATCAACTTTGACAAAATGGGCGACAAATACAAACAGGAATATGACTTGTAGTTGAGCGCTAATAAGTGTGACCCACCCCTATCTGTCAACGGATTTCTTCGAGCTTCGTACTGGCGTGCAGGCGACCGAACCCAAGGCTGGAGGAGGCGGATGGCGCTTCTGGCGCTCTCGCCCGTCGTCATCCCGTGGGTCATCACCCCGCCCAGCCGGCCCAATCCCCCGCGTGTCCATCAGGTTATATGTCCTTTGCTTTGAAAAGCGCGTGCAAAAAAAGTATTCGGAATCCAGTTAGCAGGTGATTCATGTCAGCGGGGGGACATGCATTATCTACTTCGAGGAAGTGAAGAGAAAAACTGCCCATCGGTGAGGGAGAGGAGGGGAGGGGGCGGCGCCGGGGCCCTGACGGTCGCGAGTTGGACAGGACGGGCGGGACGGAGGAATGCCCATGAGAGACTCATGCCGCTCTCGTCGTTCCGAAACAAAGAAGTTTGAAAAATAACAACCGGGAGCTGGTACTCGAACCCAGATCGGCTGCGGGGACGTCGCCGGCCCGTCGCGCCACGCGCACATAACTCATCCACGTCATGTAAGTTGTCAGGACGTTCTCTCATCGATAATGCGAATCCATTCCAGCGACGGCGAACGGCATTCGAAATGACGAATTAGGGGACATTCTTCGGTACAAGAAATTTGTCATATTTTGCCCCGCTTCCAAGCGTGGGTACCAAGCTTTTCTACGCCTCCGTGTTGCGGGTCTGCATGCACTCCCTGGGTCCGCAGGCCACGCAGAGGGCCGTGGCGCCTACTATCATGGCGACACCTTGAGGGCGCAGGGATGAGGCATGAGGCAAGCTACAACCGATGGAGTTTCTTTGATACAATTAGATGTGTCTGGTGATGGTCCAGTCTCTTGGACCCAGCAAGTAGATCGTCTAGAAGACAAGATTACCCTCCGCACCCGCATCTCTTAACCCCTTCCCCCCACACAAAATTTCCTCCTTCAATTTTGTAAAAGCTGTGGGGATTGCAGGATGCTCACCCTTGTTCCTCTCGCTCCGCAGGGTGCTGAGGCACGCCCCGCTCAGCGGCTGGAGCGGCTCGTCCTGCGCGGTGCGCGGCCGCTGGGGTCTGTCCGCGCGCCAGGCCGCGCTCTGCCGCGGCGCCCTGGACGCCATGCCGCAGCTGGCGCGCGCCGCGCAGCTCACCGTCACCACCTGCAGGCAGCTGTTCGCCGACCGCCGCTGGAACTGCTCGTCGCTCGAGAACGCCCCCGCGCTCAGCCCCGACCTCTACACGGGTGAGTGCGACTGCGGCAGCCCACCCTCCCGGACCCATTCCCATTCGGCGCTTGCTTTACATCGTGATTCCTGCTGCAGGCACCCGCGAGCAGGCCTACGTGTACGCGCTGAGCTCCGCGGCCGTGACCTACTCGCTGGCGCGGGCGTGCGCCCAGGGCGCGCTGCCGCACTGCTCGTGCGCGGGTCCGCCCCGGGACCCGCCCAACGGCAACTTCAAGTGGGGCGGCTGCGGCGACAATGTCCGCTACGGCGCCGCCCTGGCCAGGCAGTTCGCCGACGCAGCCGAGCGCCGCGGCGGCAAGACGACGCAGCAGCGGCGGCGCCAGCATCACGGCGGCGGCGAGCGGCGGCGGCACTGGGCGCTGCCGCCCACCCCCGCCGTCACCTCCAGCAAGCGCCGCAAGAGCGTCGACGGCGACGGCGAGCAGGAGCGTGCCGAGGAGCAAGGCCACCTGGACAGGGGCAGCGCGGGCGGGCGCCGCCGCCGCCTTGGCAGAGCGAGGGCGCACCTCGCCCTCGTCAACCTCCACAACAACCGCGCGGGGCGCAGGGTAAGTCAGCGCGCTAAACACTCCAAGTTCTGTTCTATGGGAGCGTGGCGACGCGTGGCGTTTGCCTCAAGTTGCTTCAACTCCAGCCGATTCAGATTTATTCAGCTGCTGAGCATCGCAAGGGGCGCTCTACGGGGAAGGGAAGCGACATCAAGGCGTGACACTGAAGCGGCTCAGTTCAAGACGCTCTAGTTTCGGAGGCAAGCGAGTAAGGCATTTTCCTACGTCGCGCCTCTCGCAGAACATCCGGGATTATCTCGTGTAGCTACACAGGAACAGGACCAGGTCGGAGAGCGATTGGCCAGACACCGCCTATGGCAGGTAACAGGTGTCACACACACGACCGATTCGCGCCGTCCGCATTCGCATTGTACCGTGTATCAGGGCTTCGACACAACAGTGCTGCGGGTTTGCATACCCTTGGGGCCATGGGGCCTTTCGCGTAGAGCGAGTAGGCAACCCAGCATACCGTTGTGTCGTGGCCCTGACACACGGTACTGCCCGAACGAGTAGGCAACCCGCTCGCCCGCGGTATGTATGCTAGGAAATTGGATACAACTCACCCAATGCGGACGGCGAGCAGCGGGGAGGGGTCGGTCCTTCCCTCCGTGCATGCCGTAACCAGACCCGACCCGATCGCTGTTGCAGGCCGTGGAGTCGAGCGAGGTGACGCAGTGCAAGTGTCACGGCGTGTCGGGGTCGTGCAACATCAAGACCTGCTGGCGCGCGCTGCCGCGCTTGGCCGACATCGGCCTTCGTCTTCAACGCCGTTTCGCCGCCGCCGTCGAGGTGGTGTCCCGGCGCACCGTCCCCGCCGGCGTGGGGCGTCGCCTGGTGCCTGCCCAGGCGCCCGCGCCTGCGCCCGCCGTGCGGACCTACTCGCAGGACGACCTCATCTTCCTCGCCAAGAGCCCCGACTACTGCCTGCCCGACCCGCGCACCGGCAGCCACGGCACCCACGGCAGGGCCTGCAACGCCAGCTCGACCGGCTTCGACGGCTGCGACAACATGTGCTGCGGGCGCGGGTACAGGACGGTGGCCGTCGAGAACGTGGAGCGGTGCCAGTGCAAGTACTACTGGTGCTGTTATGTAAAATGCAACACATGTAAATCCTGGGTGGATGTGCATGAATGCCTGTAGTTGAGACAAATTGCAGAACAGGCTTCAGTAAGACAAGTTAGATATGATGTACAGTGACATGTAAATTGACTTTGTAAATATATATTGGATATACATTAATATATTATATCACAGATAAAATAAATTGATATCTATTTATCCTAAATTCATGGTTGCTATTCATTTACAACTGAAATTATCAATTTGGTAAGAAAAATGGGATTAGACTAAAATAATACTATTTTCACAACCTTGATTGTCCCAGAGCTCTGGCTCATAAACAACATTTGTTTAAAAACTTAAAATAAAACAATTCAAATTACTTTGTAGGAAACAAATAGTACACAATTTCAGAATTTAACATGAGGGAGGTGTTGTATTTGTCGCATTTCCAGGAGCTTTTTGAGATTTGGTTTAGCACGCTGCAAAAAGAGCAACAAAAAATTGATGAAAGTGAATTTCTCTTATTCTATGCTTTGTACCTAGAGCATAAGGAATTTTGTGATCATTTTTTTTTACTCACCGGTAGCTTTTCTTTCAGCATAGAAAGGTCTGCAATGGGCACAAGAGCAGGCCGACCGTGAGCACATTGGAAAGGAAGTTTACATGTTGATAGATTATGAAGGAAAGCTTGACAGTCTGCTATAGTCAGAGAGTGACCAAACTTAACAGCCCCTGGCAAGGATAGATGGAATTAGTTTTGATGCATCATGAGGAAGCAACTAAACAATGGTTTCTCCTATGAAAATCACTCTAATGAAGCTAAAAACTCTTTGGACATGTTAGCTTATGGCAATTTTTCAAAAGATTTATCATTGTTAGAGTTACTAAAATACAAAGCCAAATTGATTTGTGAATAATTGGTGGTTTAGTTTGTGTTCTAGCTATATAATCATAATTTATCACAATTGCTAATATAATATCTATGTACCTCGACAAGCCTCAGAACTTATCACATTCTGAATAATTTTTGGATGGTCTGTTCCAACACCTCTTGTGTTTAGGAGTGAATCAACTTGTTCTCGGATGAGACTTTCAAGATGTTGCCGCAGTACAGAAACTCCTCTGCCAGTCACCTGTGTAAAAGATCTCAGTGAAGATCAAAGAATTAAGACAGAAAACCGTTAATAGAAATACATTTATTTTTTTGATGAGTTACCTCTCTATTTTCTCTTAGTAGGAGACATGTAGGCACTCTTTGCACCTCTATGGAGCTAGAATCAGAGACAGTGAAGCAAAATCCAAGCTGTTCCATTTTCTTCTTATAGCTTTCTAGAATTCTTACTTCAATCATACTCAAAGGTAAAGGTAGAGATGGTTCGACAGAGGATGATCTCCAGGTGGCTGATCCATCATGCTGTTTATATGCTTTTAAAAACAAATAATAATGAAAATATTTACTGAGAAATTGGAAAGTGTCTAATTGATTCACGAACAGACAACCTAAACTTGCCTTCCGTCAGATTTTCCACACGAATGCGTTCATGGACTGCATGCTGATCAAACAGTACAATAACTTCTCTGTTCAAATTATGTGCTGCTATTGTGACAATGAATTTATTATCTAACTGGCCAAGCACCTAAAGAAAAGGAAGTAAAATTCGAATTGATTTTGCTTTGTGGTCATGAAAAATATAAGGAGAAAATGCTACCCACCCTCAGTTTATGGAAGATGTCTTTAGTAAAGGTATATGGAAAAGCTACATTATAGATCTTTATATCAGATTTTGATAGCTCTTGTACACTTGCATTTTTTACTTGGCTTTCAGCAGCAAGATTTGAAGAGAACTCATCAGCCTCAGAGAGAAGCTGATCAACAAGAGGCCAAAAATCAGTCTGATCTGTAAAATGTGAAAATAAATATATCAAACAATACTAGATAGATAAATGATACTTCCTTACAAAAAAGGAATACTCATACTATTCTGTTTTTTGTCCCACTTTATGAATGATAAATCTTCTTCCTTATGAAATAGAGTAATGCTTGGACTTGTGCTAGGCTCATCAGTAAGTTTGTCATTTAATATGGGTGACATGCCTTTGGGAAGAAATGAAAACCTAGAAAAATGTAACCATAAACTAACAAGAAACTCACAAGCTAGTATTGTAAAATTAATACCAAGTGTGGTACCTTACCGATTGCTGAACTTAAATTGGACACTTTCATCATTATTTGGCTTAAGGTAAGTGGTCATACCACTATCCTTGTGAATGAAAAATGGTTTACCACTGTGATCTTTTCTTTCAAGCCAAACAGTTTTAGTGGTATCTTCAAATCCTGCACGATTTTCCTAAAGGATGCAAAGAAAGATTAAAATATGAAATAACACACATGAAACTGACACAAGGTTTTAGATTTCTTACACAGTCTTTATGATGATTTACAACTGAAATTGATGACATTTGCTCACTTTTGTCTACAATTAGCGAGTCAGAGCTTTGGGAGTCTGAGACTGAATTTGGCAAGGCCTGCTCACTTTGACATTCATGCTGAGGAGTGTCAAAAAAGTTGCCATTGGAAGTAGTAAAAGTTTCAAATGTAGTAGAAGGAATCTCTGATGTCATTTTCTGTTTTTCCCTAACACTATAACTTGCAGACTCTGCCTCTGAGGATGTAGCCAGATGAAAGTCACATTTTGCAGGTGAGGACATTCTGAATCCCGGGAGAATGTCTAATGTCACTTGCTGTTTTACCCTATCACTACAATGTGCAGACTCTGCCTCTGAGGATGTGGCCAGATGAAAGTCACATTTTGCAGGTGAGGACACTTTGAATCCTGGGTGTGTTACATGACTGGATATATTTCCATCCTCAGCAGGACTTTCAAATGAGTCACAAAATCGTTTGGTGTTCTGACCCTGACTGTCTTCTGACTTACGTTTCTCAGAAGACATTGGACTCATAGAATTATTTCTCAATAAATCTTTATCACTTGCAAAGCTTTCTTGAGATGAAGGGGGTGAGCTATCATAATCAACTAATTTTAAGATTTTTGCTGTTTTGCATCTCATGCTGTTGTTTTGAATTCCACACCCATCAACATCTATGACATCTGAACTACTAATTTTACATGTTTTTGAGAGCTGTTTTCTATTTTCTGGTGGGAAAACATCAAAGAGTGATTTTAACATATTTCCCTTTTCATCTGGTTTCCTGTGATCAATAAAAATGTTGTCAGAATTTCTGTGATTGGATTCACCAAAAGACAAACTTATTTCAGGTGATTCCATGAGTTTTTCATTTGTCTTTGCAAAAGCAGATAAACTGTCAGAATTAAAACGATTACTGTTGGCTTCCAGAGGTGAATCAAGCTGTTGGATGCTATCATAACCAGTTAATAGCATGTCCTCTACAGACAAAATTTGTTGGAAACATCCTTCAACATGATCATTTGTTATGGTTTCTACACCAGATGAACATGAGGTGTCTAAATTTCTTTGGTACAAATCAGTGGGTGATGGTAAACTCTGATCAAAATTTCCTCGGAAAGATTGCAGTTGATTGTTTTCAGTAACCTTTAACTTATTAGCATCATTGGAAACAATACTATCCAAATTTTCCATTGGAGCAAGATTTGCATTGGCTGAGTCAGTTAGTATTGGACAACTTGCCTCACTCTTTGACTCAGAAACATCACTGCTAGCCATAGTAGCAACAATAGACTGCATGTCATCTGAGTATATGGAAGGAGAAGGTGCACATTGTGTTACTAACATCAAGGGGTTGGAAGTATTTTGCACCTTTGGTTGAGAATCAATTTTGTTTCTCTCTTGTTGGCTCAGGCCTTTACCAACAATTTGACCTTGTGGTACTCTGACATACATGTTTTCCCTTCCCTTTTCCGCAAAATCTTTTCCCACTTGGTCCGCACCACATGGGTGTTTATACAGCAAAGGTTTCTTTGAAGAAGTATTAAATGAAAACTTGTTCAAATTGCTTAAAAGTTTCTTCCTTCTTATTTCTTTAATGCTAGCAAGAGCATTGATAGGGCTAGAGGGCGATGATTTCCAAGGAGGTTTCTTTTCAAGTGGCCACTCTGCACTTTTTCTAAAACCTTCCTCAAATCGAACAATCTCAGAGAGAAATCCTTTCACAGGTTTAGTTTTTGTAACTGATGAAATTACAGGTTTTTTAAACAAGAAATTTGATTGGCCTTCTAAAGTTTTGGGATTTGGGGGGGCACTTGCAATAGATGGAGTTTCTGTGAAACATCCCTCATAATTTCTTAATGTTGGTGCACTTTTTTCTTGATACGCTTCTTTATTTGAAAGAGGTGGACACGGTTGTTCAGTGAGAGCTGAATTATAAAATCTTCCTGAATTGCCTCCTCTTCCTTTTTCTTGAGACTCTAAACTACTGGAAAAAAGTTCAGAGCTGGCAGTTGAAAAAAAACATTCAGTTGGGGACTTTTCAGATAAATTAACACGGTGTCTATTTGCAGGCAAACTATGAATAGCTCTTGGAAGGTCTCTTGTACTTATTGACCCTTTATTCGCTTGGACATTTTGTCCACCCAGAGCTTGTTCTCTTGCAAGCTGATTTATTTCATCAATAACAGTTTCCACTTTCCTGGGGGGCCAACAGTCAAATCCTTCTTCTTCAGTCTCAGAAGGACCAAGCTGACTTTCAATGAACTTTCTTAGAAGTCTTTCAAAACAACTTAGCAAACAGTCCCAGTTACAAAATTCAACAAGTGTCTTTTTAGGGTCAAGGGTTATGTCATACTCTGAAAGAGGGCATATTATATTAAGCACAAATATGGCATGTTTGTCTCGTTTGGGTGGTGAGAAAGCCAGAAAAACATTATGATTGATTTCTTTCGAAATTGGAGCATGAGAAACATTGTTTGATTTTAAAATTGCACTTCTTGACATAATAGAATTCACAAGTTTGTGAATTTTGGTTTTGAGAAGTAATCTTTTGTTTACATATATAAACTGCAAATTTTTTAAAAGGTGAGCTTCATTTGATATGTATCCTTCTATGCAAAATGGACCCATACTTTCTTTGACTGGAACAAGAGATTTAGCTATGCTATTCCCATACAAGGTACTAAACACTGATGGGATTTCACTCACTCTCTGAGTTTGCATCATCAGATCATTATTGACATCATTTCGTAATGAAAAAGACACCTGCAATAAAAATTATATACAAAAGCATATGACAATCAAAAGCAGCAATTGCTTCAAAAAATTCTGTTTTGGTTGTACTTACATGAGGGTTTATTAATGCCACAGCCTCCAAACTTGATTTCACTTCCTCCAAATCCAGCGCGGGTTTGATTCGTGCTCTCCTGACAGGCCGGTTGTACAAAAAGTCACCAACAGTGATGGTAGACCCCCAAGATGCTCTATGATGGCGAGATTTTCCAGCTTTTAGGGCAACTCCTTCACTAAATACTTTACAGTAAGTGTCTTCAGTATTTTTGCAACGTGAAACAATTGTCAAAGTACCGCAGACATCTTTTATACTTGACATTGCTTCTCCTCGAAAACCATAAAACTTAAGATTGCCCTGAAGATCACGCATTGAGTGGCATTTACTTGTCATGTACCTGACAAAGAAGAAATTTTGCTAAATACCGTAAACTTTTCTTTTGGTGATTAGGACTACAGAAGACAAGAGATTTAACATTTAAAATTAATCTGAAAATATTTAGAAACTAACCTGGTTCCAACAAGATTGATGTCGGAAAAATTTAGGCCACAGCCATTGTCAATTACCTGAATTCTGAAGTTTTTTAGATCTATTCTTACAGCTATGGATGTCGAACCTGCATCAATGGCATTTAGAACCTGGAAACACAATAAATGAAAATTTTGAAAGAACTGCAGAAGAATAAGGAAGTGAGCCTTGGAAATATTACTTGCTTAATTTAATGATAATTTGTTAACAATGAAAGAGTAAAAAATAAGAAAAGATGTGCTCCCATGCAATTCCAACCTTAATTACGTACCAATTCAATCACACATTGAGCTGTTGTAGTTACTGTCACATCCGTGCGAAGGGACGAAACAACAGCTGACGGTAAGCGTTGAATAACCATGGCTGAATTGGGCCTAGTCGTTCTTAAGTTAACGATAAAACCATAACATTTGTTGTCCTAAACACCGAATTTTTGAAACAATTCTGCTCAAAACAATCGCTGTAGCTATCCATACGCAAGCGTACCAACCCAAATTTGACAGCTGACTACTTTCCATCAATGAATTATTAAGATTGTCTTCGAGAATAAATTGTTCTTGGATGTCCAAATATTGTACATGCAAATACAAATGTATGGGAAAGATTTAAAATGCACTGTGTCGAAAAGGGTAACATCACCCATCACCAAAGCCAAGCCAACCTAAGAACGAATAAAAACACATCAGTCCATTCCATTTCTTCGTTTCGAGAGCCTGTCTGTCAACAACTTCTTGGGGCTTCAGATGGAGTGATGGTTTAAGGAAAAGCACCTTGTCTGAGCCAAATCAACCTTAGATTTCAAATCAGGACGCTAGCCTTTTAATCGACAGATATGGCTGAAGATCTCCAAAGCAATCTTCAGAACTATCAACTTCAATTGCAGCAGGTAAGTTTCAGATTATTCAGGATGCATAATGATTTCCTTCCATTTACAAGAACATTTCAATGCCTACAGTGTTAGAAGGTGTTTGCCTTTTGCCCCAGACAAGCAAACATTTCTGTAGACCCTCCCACATTGTTAATGTTTACTTTGCCTTGAGCCACCCCTAACCTGTTTTTGTGATATTTCCCTAGGTTGAGGCTGCACTTCTCACAGACCCTTCAAATGAAGAGCTCATCAAATTAAAAACTGATCTCGAAGAAGTTATAGATTTAACGAGTGATTTGATTAAAACCCAACTTCTTGAATCAGCTGGTGAGTGGTTAACATTGACGCCGCACTCTTAGTATATTTCTCCTTATTAATTTTTGTGATATCTACTTAATACAGGTTCTAGTTCAGAAAAGGAAGTTAAGGTATCCAAACCACAGGATACAGAAGAACCAGATTTGCCTGTATTAACCGCCAAAGAATGGAAAGCTGGGGACAAATGCCTTGCAGTTTGGAGTGAGGATGGACAGTGAGTATCTCCATAGTTTCTGATGGTAACTATGTTAGAAGGTAGTGAAGTGATTTTATATCAAAGGAGTGCTGTAAACTACTATATCTTAGTGATATCAGGAAGATGTTTTGACTTCGCTTCTTCCCTAGGTTGATTTCTTACATTCTTCTATTTTTAAATTTCCTAGATTTGACATTTTAACTGTGTTTGAAGTATTTTGTTTTCTTTACAGATATTATGAGGCTACAATTGAAGAAATAACAAATGGAGAAGATGTGTCAGTTATATTTGATGCTTATCAAAATGCAGATGTTTGTAACATAAATCTACTGCGTGAAGTGTCTAGCGCTGCTGATTCTGATCCCAAAAATAAGTAAGACCCTGGGTGCTTTACAGTTAAGAATTAAATGTCCTTTTTTGTACTCTCAGTAATAAAGCAATTTATTTTGTATCATAGGAAACATGCAATGTCAAAACAGAGAGAATATCAGAAGAAGAAAAAACAAAAGAAGCTGCAACGATTTAAACAATTAGAGGAAGACAGAGAAACAGAAAAGAACAAGTGGCTTGCATTTGCAACAAAGGTATCAAGATTTTTCCATATTATTTTTAAGTTGTGAAACTCACGGAAAATGTTGGACAATAATAAACTGTTTTCCTTGCAGAAGAAGGGTGGTATTGTGAAGAAAAGTATATTTGCCTCTCCTGAGTCTGTATCTGGTCGAGTAGGCATTGGAACATGTGGAATTGGAGGGAAACCCATGACTGAATTCACATCAGCTGAAAAATGGAGGAAGGGGACTTAGAAAATTACTGGTTTCACTACACATTTGTTCCAAATCAGACTTCAAATTCAAAAGTAACAGACTCACTTTTAACTGTTTCAAACTCCTTATGAATTGATCAAAGACTTTCTTTTAAAATAATATTTTCTTTTTGTGTACATATGAAATAAAAATGAATATTCATGGTATGTTAAAATGGTTGTTTTATTATGAGCTCTATTCAATTAATTGATAGGTTACAGTCATGTATATGATACTTTTGAACAGTTGTGCTGCAAGACACTGAACTGAGTATTTTTCTGAAAAGTGGAAAATTTCAGAGGTGAGACACTTAAGTGTTCCTAAATTGAACACCCAAGAGCAACAGTGAGGAAATCTTCAAATCCAATTGTAATGTTTCCGGTTTGATCCTTGTCCCGGACGCGAAAAGCCTCTGCAACACACACAACAAATTTAAATAAGAATTTATCTTCTGAAGAATACGCTCTAGAATGTAATCTATTTTTTTCAAGATACAACATTGACAGAACTCAAGCATTAGATCAAACCATTTCAAATTACCTTTCACCTATGTAAAACAACCAATACAACAATAGTAAATTTGAGGCAAGAACTTTGTTAGTATGTGCAAGATCCAATAACTGCAGTGGAATGGGTACAAATACTACAGAAAGAAAACAATCAGATATTTATTTTGACCAGTTAAAATTGGCTTTACATTTAGACACACGGAAGACATTGTAAAAAAAAAATTATTTTGTTTCACTGGGTAAAATGGGTTAAAGATAAAGAAAACAACAAATTTTATTGGAAGAGCCTCTATCAGTTCTAATAAGAGGCTGATGGCTCTCACCAAAGTTTCAAGAGAGAAAAATACATTTTCAGAAACAGCTATTGATACTTCAATTTTGTTAATGGATTGGGGAGGAGGGAAATTTCATAGCAGTCTTAACACTAAACAATAACCACAAAGGAGCATGACTAACAAACAACACATTGGAATACTTCGCAAAGGCGCGACAGCAACAATAACAAGTCTTTGCAAAGTACATAGAAAATAGATAATTTTTCAAATAAATATCTTGTATAGGTATTTACATGTAACAATATCACAATGTGCTATAAAGAACATGGCATATAAAAAAACAACATATTGAAACTAGATATCAGTCAACTTTGGTGAAACAAACTATTTATGTACTATATAGTTTGACTCAAATACCGTAGGACCCATTAAGAAATTCATGGAAGAAAATCAAAGATGAATTAATACGTAAACAAGATAATGTTTACTGTTTTAAATGACCAGAATGAAACTGCATTCTCTTAGAAAAATAGTAGGTAACTAAGACGTCGGGAATATAATACATGAAATGATTTGGTACATGCTTCAGAAAATCACATTGCCTTTTTAAATTTTAATTAAGTTGGTAAGGCACACATTTCTAGAAAAATTCGATTTGGGATTTGCACACAGTTGTAAGGATATGATATGAGAGTGCTGGGAAAACTTGATAAGGACTGACCCAAGAAGATGTCCCCCCTGAACATTAAAATAAAACGCATCTCAAAAGTAAAGAAAGTTAAGTCAAATAAGAAAGCTATTGCAGACTCATGTTTAAAAATTAGAGAAATGCTTAAGACTGAGTTACAATTGGCTGTATCATCTTAAGAGATAAAACAGATAACAAACAACAGATTTATCTTATACAGGTTATTTCTGCCTGCTGTAGTTTCAAAAATGTTTTAGTGTTCAGGAATAAATGCTACTTTAGTGGTATAAACCAGGGTCAAACAGTTGGTATGTTCTCTGTTATTTCTTTTAAGGCAATACAGCCTTAAATGCTGCTCAGAATTTTAATTACCCTCTGTACAGGTAATGGTAGACCACGTTGTCTTTCAGTACTACAGACCACAGAACACCAAACTAATATTTCTATGAACTGACTTAAAGAAGAATCCGTTAAACAGTTAAAACAAAACTAAATTGCACCTCAATCAACAAGTTCGTAAACATAGTCAAAATACATGTGGATATGGACAAGAGATGGTTAAGCAAATTCCGACAACTCTTTTCTGGAAGTACAATTTTTCACATCATTTCTTGAATTAGACTCAGAAGTTACATCTGAAGCTGATGGTTGTGCAACAATTGGAAGAGCAGATAGGGCTGCCACTATATTTTTGTATCTTGAGTAACCCTTGTGTTGGCTGTCAGGGTCCCCAACATCTGCACTTGCAGCTTGAGCTTTGTACTTAGCAATATTTCTTAGTTCCGAAAGACGTGTATTCATCTGTTTCTTAATAGTAGTATTTTCTTCAACCTTCCATGAATTTTGTTCCGCATGAAACCTTGCATACTCTGGAAACAAAACACAGAATTGGACTTGAAAATAGGCCAAAAAGAATAGAAATTGAAGATAAACCTAGATAGATAAATTAGCACTCACTCAGGATACATTCAACCGCAGGTCTATAAAGTGACGGTCTTTGTACATCAGGTTTACCATATGGCCCTTTAGCAACATTTCCTTGAACCGAACATGACAGCAAATATGGCATTTTGAAGATGGCTTCCAAACAACTACGGGCGACAGAACTATGGCTCTTTTTGCTCAGGATGTTGTCCATGGCTGAGAGAGCTACGTATATCCTAGAGCCAGGACACAATTCACATACCTAAACAAAATAATACAAGAAAATAAAAACTAATCATTTGTTTTACCAAAGTCTAGATATGGAATATGATTCTTACTTACCCCTTCTACAGGATCAGGGAATAGGAGTTGCTCCCTCCCTATTCTGTCTACTTCATCTTCTATTGGTTCAGTAACAGTCACATCTTGTAAAGCACTACGTTGTATATCACAGTCGTCCTTCCCTGAGGAGTGAAATTCTACTTGGTCAAAATTTAAAAGAGGAGTATGATATGGTGATTCCTGTCCTTCTGGTAGATGTTCATCTTCTGGCCTTTCCATCTTTATGTGGGTGGACACATAAGTTCCATTTGAATGAGGTATATCACAATCGTTCCACTGAGCACTTCGAGGCTCTAAGAAATTTCTTGCTGTGTTAATGAGAGAAACTGCCGGTCTGATAAGGCGAGTTTGAATGTCAGCTGGACGGATTACGGGCGGTAACTTTTTGGCTGGTTTAGTAAAGAGAAGAGGTCTTTTTTTCAAAGTTTCTACAATTTCTTTGGCAGATGAAAGCCATGAAGACAGCTCTGGAAAAAAAAAGTAATGTGAGAAACGGTGGTTTGGAGAATGCATTGGTTAAGAGTTTATGCTTTAGGTTAGGCTTCTGAGAGCAAGTAGAAAAACAACACAAACCCAGGGCATCTCTGTGTTCCTTGATAAGACGTTCATTTTCTTCCTGCAAGAATTTAACTTGCCTCTCAAGGACACAATTTTCGTCTTGCAATTGCTTGTTTTCTTTCAGGAGCTGAACATTATCATTCACTAGCTGATTCATATCTTCCCTCAGTTTTTCATTCTCATTCCTAAATTTGTTGTTATTATTATAATTACTATGACTAGTATCTGATTCCTGCTGAGGTACACATAAAAACAAAGAGGTAGATTTAGATTGAGGCAGTACTATTACTGGATATATAAGGTGGTTTAGAAGAAACACTAACACTTTGATCATTTTGAACATTGTCTGGCATCTCCAATCCATTTTGCAAGTATGTGTCATCTCCATCCTTTAGTTTCCGTTTTCTCTTTGCTTTATCATATGGGGGGCCAATAGTCTGGCAGTCTAGACCATCGTCTAGAAAAAAACAAAACAACAGGAGCATAAGACAATAGGTAATTGAAATAGAGGTATTGATTTCTGAGTTATAAGCAAAGCTAAATAAATCTTATACCCAGGTAGTGTTTAAGTACATTGGTGTAAAAGTTATAACAAAGATAAGATAGATAGATAGATTTAACACCCCTGACCACAGCCATTCCTGTACTAAGTAATTCCTGTTCAAAACAACAACAACAACAACAACAAAAAAAATGACCATTCTGAAAACGAGAACACTTACTAAAGATTATGAAGTTTGAGATGGATAACATTCAAGACTAGATTTTTTTATTTGTTTACACACACACACACGCACACATATACGAAGACGCTAATATGTTACCAGAACTTTAAGCTTGAAACTTTTAGAAATGAAAACTAGAATTCAGGAATGGCGCAACCAGAAGCTTCATGGTGTAGCAAGTTGCAAGCAATGCATGCCGTGTCGGTCTAAATAAAAGTTTAAACAAGAATAACTTCAGAAAAGTTTCCACTTTTATAATGTTCTTAAAGGTTATTATAGTATTTGGTTGAAATGCAATATTTAAATGATAAAAAGTCTAGGTTGAGATGTTAACTTACTTGAATTATCATTGCAGCGGTGTTAACTTTGGCTACTTCAGGGATTTAATCTTCTGACTACCCCCACAAAACAGATTAGATAGGTTTTACTTTTATAAAAGCCATTCTGCTGGCTGCGCTTTTCCACTAGATGTATGCTAAAACTGTAATGTGCTAACCATACCTCAAATATCCATAAGACTTTCCCTTCACAACAATTATACTTCCGCTTGACCAAGAATTTTTCTTTTTTTATAATCACCTTATGAATATTCAGCTGTTTTGTTTTTGAGAGATAAGTATTTGGCACATACACAATTTTGGTCTCTGGTACACACACAAACAAAAATAAACAAAAAAAAACACGGCAAATTTTGCCCTAACGATTGTTTAAAGGTCCGCAGTGTTTAATATAACCTTTTCTACATTGGATCCTGCACATTTATTTGGTTTGAAATTAGAGTACCTATCTCCTTGAATCAATACAATTTTAGAGATAAGCTCTTTGAACCTTACCTGTTATGTTTGTTGTCTATGATCGTAATTTCTTAAGATATTAAAGTAGCTTACTTACAGTAGGACATACATAGAAGTAGTTCATTACTAAAATCTCACTGCACTCACCTGTGAATCTTTGAACCTGCACACATAGGACAATGAATTGGTCCACTGAAATCTTGGTATGGTTCTCAGTGTCACTCTTAGTTATCAGAAATTTGATGAATTCAGGAGTGAAACGGAACCCCATCTGCTGGAAAGCTTGGGATAGATAAAGCAGGTTGAATAGTTGAGGCACATTAATATACACTAATGGGCAAATAAGCAAGTAATGTTAACCATACCTTGAGCTAACTCTGTTTCCTCAATATGTCCTGATTGGTCATGATCGTAACTGCGGAATGTGCCAAGCCACTGGTTTATGTAGTTATAAAGTTGTTGGAACTCATTAATGTCAATTGTTCCAGTTTTGTCTCTGTCAAACATTCCTAATATGAAAAAAAGAAATACAATCGATATAGTTAACAGATTGGTAACCAACATGGTTGTGTGTAAAAGCACAGGTGCCATTGGGTGACATGTGAATGAGAAACTGTTAACATAGATACAAAGCTAATGCAAAATAAAAGTTATATGCCAGGACTTTTGATAAAATTGTGTATGTACAACTGTCATAATAGTATTTTTGGAAAGATAAGTGACTGTATAGATGTATTGATTTTTGAAAATTATGTAACATTCATACCTGACTTGTCCTTATCAAACATGCCTGCAATAACAAAGTCAGGCCTTCAAAATTTAAAACTATGTATTACATCTAGATTGAAAGCTAAAGATACTTCACTTACCAATCATCAAATTACAGGCTTGATCAGAAAAGTTTTTTCCCTGGCCATTTACTAAGGCTGCTTGAAGTTCTTTCGCGGTAATTTTTCCAGATCGATCTCTATCTACAGCGTTGAACCATTGCTGAACCTCTGGACTGAGACCGCCTTGCACTCCTGCACCCGGGTTTTGAGGTGGATAATTTCCTGGCTGTTGGCCACCAAAATAGTTTCCACCATAACCACCTGGCTGGCCTCCAGGATAGTTTCCAGGTTGTTGGCCACCGTAGCCGCCCTGCTGGTCTCCTCCATAACTCATTTGAGTGCCGTTCACACCTCCTAAAGACTTAAAATTAAGAAAATGAGAAATAAATGATTAAAAACACATAAAAAATATTAATAATAGTATTAAGATAGAAAAAATAAAGTATAAGAGACGGAGTCAGAGAAGTGAACTGACACGTACAGTATAGTAGTAGGATTAATATCATAACATTTTCTCAGAGCACAAGTTATGAATCAATAATGTCAAATTAAATAGAAATCAAGGAAAAAGATAAGAGACTTGAAAAGCGTTTAGTTGTGATAGAAAAATCTATTATTGTAAGCGTAAGAGGTTAGGGTTCTGGCTTGTCAAAATGAGGGATCTACTCACTGGATAAGACATGTCTCAAGGCACTTTAAAACAATAACAGTACAATAACGGCAAATATAATTCAGTCGGTAATAAGCGAACAGGGAATGTTGTGAAGTAAAAATCCGAGCAAGTGCTCTCGCTGACAATTGATAATGAAGTTAACGTTGGGTACTGAAAGAATAATAGAGCACCAAATATAACAGTTAAGATGAAAGTAACAAAGTGTGACCTAACAAAGAGACCGTAAATTTTACTCTGACAGACAAAGGACAAGAAATGTAAATAAATAAACAAACTGGGTGCCCACACACCTGTCTCAAGGTCCTAGACTCTAACCCACTGCCATCCATGAAACCAGCGCGTGTCTTGACGATGAAAATGCCCTCGATTCTAGAGGTGCGAAGGGAAGAGGAACACCTCGTAGCAACCACGGGGGAGTGGGAGGGGAGGAGGGAGGCAAGTCCACGCAAACATTTAAACTTGAACAGATTATCATGGACTCTATGCGGAAAATTGCGCTCAACCAAAGAAGCAACAAGCTTTAAGTGACCAAGGTTGAAAAAAGAAATTGGAAACCATTTTCTTTCTCGGTTTGGTAAAATGGCTCTTTTTTCTTTTTAGATCTACACGTTGGCGAAACTGAAACCACTGCTGCCAATAAAGGTATTAGGGTTTACTCACCCTAGGTCCGGTGGCAGCCACTACCGCAACAGGCAGCTGTAGCAGCTGTAGCAGCAGACATCACCCCTCTCTGTCCCACACCGACCGTTAGAGGAGCAGCTGGTTGACATTTGGGCGTGTTGCAGCGGTTGCTGTTGCACAACACAACGGACGCGGGTTACCAACTCCAACGACAGCTGGCTTTGGCTGAGCTCTCTGGGCGATAAGGGAGCCTGGCGGGTCCCTGAACACTTCACGCCTGGTAGGCGGTACCCCATCGGGTACGTTGTGGAGCTATTATACACTGCGTGTGAAGTCGTTATTTGGGTTCGGTCTGCGGCCGTTTGCCATCCGCGTCCCATACACCTGCTTATCGCACCTGCACTAGTGGCAGCATTTGTGCTGATGTTGATGACTACTGTGTAAAAATGACCAGTAGGAGTAAATATCCTTCAGGTACGTGCTGTTCGAATTTTATGGTTTTGGAGAAGAATATCAAAATTTTCCGCTCGTTTTCTCCGAGTAATTTGGCTCGGCTCACCTTCAAACAGATGAGGTGTATTCTGTTCGTAATGTGGTTGGTTTTACAGTTTAGTGCGAATGTAGATCGAAGTATAACCTCTCACGAATGAGGGTGTACTTTGAAACACAAATGTAAATTGTCATTACTAAAGTTAATCTTGTACACCCAGTTTCGTCGTAGTTGTTACGACGCCTGACTTTTATTTCATTTGATGTTTATTGTACAAGAAACGTACATTTAATGTACTGATCCACTCTCACTTCCTGTCAGCTCCCTTTGTTTACTCAAAGTTTGTATGGTTTGACACTCTGGTTTACCCACAGCTATACCGCCATCCAATCCATACAACCATTTGATCGTATACATTTCAACTCCTTTTAAATATGGTTAGCCTGGGTTTTAGCTAGGAGGAAGTATCGGAAGAAACCAGAAATGAAGTGTTAATCCTCTTTATATACCCATCTGCTTTTTAAGAACGTTTTCTGCCACATCCAATTCTGTTTGCAGCCATGTCAACAACTTGTTCACTTTATGAATATTTTTTTTCTCTCTATGTAGATCTAAAACTACCAGTCCGCCCTGCCCCAGCTCCACCTCCTGGTCATCCAGCTGGTCCCTCCATTGCAAAACCATCATTCACATTAATGGAAAGTTGGGAGAGGTAATATCAAGTTCTTAGTTCTTTTTTTTAGTGCTCATTTTGTAATGCCTGACACTTGTTTATTTTATTTCTTCCCTTTCCATAGTTTTGATGACTCCTTTAGTGACTCATTTTCGAAAAAAGGACCTCCTCAGCTATCAGCATGGCCGGATAGTCAAACTCAGAAAAAGGTTCCACCACCCAGACCCCCTCCACCAAAAATTGCTTTAATTAAACCAGGAGGAAAGTCTGGTGGTAAACATAGTTCTAAATCAAATGCAAAGCAGGTAATACATGTTGCTATAATTTAGGTCAGAATTTATTGTGGATTACTTTGATTGCCTATTCTATCAAATATTTTATACTCAACAGGCATCACGTCCCACTGAGCTGTTAACAAACCTTTTCTCTCGTCGCGGACAGAAAGGTGAATCACTCCACTCTCAAGGCTCTGTAGGCTTTAGCAACCAAAATGTGACTGTCCCCCCAACTACAGTTTCTACTGCAGTGGCTACAGCTTCTTTAATAGACCTAAGCTCTCCTCCTAGTTCGCCCACACCTACAACTAGATCTTCTAGTGATGGTTTGAGTGTGGACAGTTTTGGCAGTGATGGCACCACATCACACAGCCATCATCACTCTCAAGTCAGTAACCTTATTAATGATTCTTATTCACGATCAGTGCCCAGTGATATAAGTTTATTTAGTCTTGCAACTAATTTTTGTTTTAGGTTGAAAGTGGCTTCGAGGATGATTCCGACCTTTTTGGAGGATTCACTGCAACCCCAAGCCCAGTTAATAGAGATCCTTGGGGTTCATCCCCTTCCACCCCAAGTGACCTATTTTCTCCTATTAGCACATCTACTGCCTCTTCAAAAAGTCCCTGGGGCCCTGCTCCACAAGACCCTTTCTCTCCTCCCAGGAAATTCACTGCATCCCCCACTCCAACTCCTGCAGTATCATTATCTACCACCGCATCAACTCCAGGAATTGTGGCTTTTAAGCCAACTATTATTCGACCAAAAATGAAGCCTAATGGCTCTCCATCTCTGAGTCGTGCCAAGTTAGCAGCATCTCCATTAGTGAGTACCTTAGTTTCGTGTATAAATTCACAACTAGTTCATGATACTATCATTTCCACCACAGATTAAGTGCCGTAAATTTACTCACAACCTCTAATTTTCTTTCAGCCTAATTTGCTGGATGATGGCCGTTCTGAATCTCCCCCCATGCCTTCAATTCCCCCACCTGCACCTCCATCAGAACTACTTAAATCAGACACATTTTCATCTGCCATGGGAAATTTGAATCTGAAAGAAAGCACGAAGCAAGGTCCACATTGCATTGCCTTGTTTGATTATGAGAGTTCACATCCAGATGATTTATCTTTTATGGTATGGCTAATTTACAAATTGTTCACTAAATTGTTAAAACATGTCTGCATCAGAATTTTTTTTTCTTATTGTCCTATGCTTTTTGTTTCTAGGAAGGTGATACAATTTATCTAGTGAAAGAGATGGGAGAGTGGTTTAGAGGTCGTCTATGGAATAGAGAGGGTATTTTCCCTGCAAGTTTTGTGAAAGTGGTTGTTCCACTCTCTGCTACAACTGCAGTATTTGCTACTGCTCTCTACAACTTTACACCAGAAACTTGGGAAGATTTGGATCTGCAGGTCAGTAGTAGATAACGGCTAGCACTTAAAAATTTAGGTTTATTGATGCTCAGCTTATTCTCTAATTTTTTATTTTTTTGAACAGGAAGGTGCTCAAGTTCAGTTATTGTCCAGGATAGACAATGATTGGCTGTATTTTCTTTCTTTCTTTCTTTTTTTTTTGAACAGGAAGGTGCTCAAGTTCAGTTATTGTCCAGGATAGACAATGATTGGCTGTATGGTGAATGTAATGGGAAACGCGGCCAGTTCCCTGCCACCTTCATAGACAATGTGCCTTCGAACTTGCCCATGCGCTCTTGACCCTGGAATGTCATATAGGTTACTATATTTTAGTTTTTATAATGTGATATGTGCCAGGCCAGAACCAAAGTTTTATTATTGTGCCTGACAAGTATGTTATTAATTTTAACCCGTATTATTTCTCTACAATTTAAGTTGTGGAAACCAATTTAAATTGTTGAAAAACTAGGAGCACACATAAATGTCAAAGGGGGGTAGGGGGTAATCGTCAAATAATCTGTCCAGTTATGAGTGCATATAAGCCAAGCTTGCATCACCCTTAATCATTACCTCTACGAACTGGACAGATGTTTATTAGCAGTTTACTTGATATTCATTTTATTGAAACTTCTCTTATTTTGTTCATAAAATATACTGGCCTGTTTTATTATTTGATTGGCCCTATAGCATGCTGTTGCATAGTATTATCCTACTGCAATGCTTGATTGCTCAAATTTATTAGGGTTTTCCACCTGGAACCATGCATTGTTTGTTAAACAGACATTTGTTCATTTAGTTATTAGTAAGATAAGGTATGTCTCTAAGAGATGTGGTGGATTACCTGTGATATGAAATGTTTTACTGTAAAACTGTTTAGCATGCTTCTTTGAAGTACCCTCTAAGCATAGACAATAGAGATGAGATTTATGTTAAATTTCCACCATGCTATTCAGATATCAATTTTTAATCATTAAAATTGATAAACGAATCAACTTTTCAAACCTACAGAAAAGCGACTACTGTCCTTTTCTAGGCTCTGAAATATCAAATTTTTTAGTGTGTGATTTTTTTAAACAAGTGTTTGCCAATCCTAATCTGATATTTAGCTTTGGCAATGTTTTAGATTTTAGGCACCTGTTATTATTTTATTTACTCAGCTTTGATTTTTTAAAGAAAAAAGTACTGAAGCAATTTGTGCAATACTAATTTTTATGTGAGCGTCAAAGCCAGGTCCAAATAGTTTTGAGAGAATTTTTGTTAACTGGTAACATTTCTGTGTTCTTGGGTCCTTTATTGTTATCCATCAATATTTTGTACAAAACTTTCAGTGACCAATTTTTTTAGTGTTTTGCAATAGACTGTGTTTCTTAAACAAGTAATTGATAGTTTCTCTTCACCGCCTCAAACACCCTCATTGAAAGCAAAAAAAACGTTTTTTCTTTACCGTACTCGTCTTCGGCGCACGATATTAGATCGACCTCGTACATCTATGCACCTAGCTTCAGCGAGGTCCGGGTATGTCCGAACTTCATAAGCCTCCCACCGAGCTCGGTCTGTTTCTCTCTCTACATCACACGACCGACCGATCGGCGCAGTTCGGGCTAACCGGCTAACCCCTTTATTTGACCCATCCTACACTCACCAGGAAATTCACTTGAATCAATCTAAACTCTTCCGTTCGCCGGCTTGGTCTGGCTAATAAACTGTGCATCGCAATGCTTGTCACAGAAAACAAAAAGGGAGGGGGGGGGGGTTGTCACCGGTGTCACGTTTCCCTCCTTCCTTCAGACAGTCTCGCGTCGCTAACCTCTTGTACAGACAGTCTTGGGGACTGTCTAAAATGATCCCCACACCTCATCCTTTCCAAGTATGTGCGTGTCCACTCTCTTGAAACATGTTTTCGCGTGTTCGGGACGTCGTTCGGTCAAACGGTTGGGCGAATCGGCGAATCCTTTGCCCTCATGGGACAACACGGCCGCGCCGCTAGACACGAGTGCGGAATCAGTCCGCGGGCAGCTGCAGGCAAGAGGTGGGGAGGGGTCGCCGGTTCGCGATGAGTTCGTTGGTTTTGGGTTACTTGTGATTGTTTATTTACTTACTTGAAACAGGAAGATTGTTTCGAAGCGGACCGATGATGGTGTGGTTAAGTTGGGCAGCGAGAAGGCGGCATTCAACCGATTATCCGCGGTTGGGAGAGTTCATACATTTTCGAGGCTGAGGCTACTTCGGTAAGTCATTTCCCCAAATAAGTTTGCACTTCGGAAATCTCAGACTGGATATTTTCCAGGGATTTAAAGGGGGTTCAAAAGAAATGAGGCACCCTACCAACAGAGATTGGTCACAAAACGTCAAAATGATCAAAACTCGCATCACTATGACGTCTTTTTGGACCCCAAAACGTCATTTTCACATCACTAATACGTTAATCTGACGTTTTGTGACAAATCTCTGTTGGTAGGGCAGGTCCGATATGTACATTTTTCGAAATATGTAGTTTTTTTTAAAATGGGCAACTCGTTCCCGTCCCGTCCGATCCGTCCTCTGATCCAAAACGTCGTCCGTGTTGCCCTCCCCCCCCCCTCTCTCCTTCTTGGCGAGGCGAACCCTTTTTCTGACGAAAATAAACTTGCTATGCGACAGGACTCCCACTCCGGGAGCCAATGGTTCGGTACTGGACAGGGCTGGGGCGCGCCGGCTGCAGCATAGCCCTGACGATTCGATTGTTTTCACTTTCATCTCGTACAGAGGACTGGCTTTAAGATTGTCTGAGGCGCCGAAGCCACAGTCCGGGAGAGTGTCAATCTGCAGTCAAAGGGCAGCCGACCCTCAGTTAAACTGAGCTGAGGATAGGGCTCTCAAAACCCGGACAGGCGGGTACCCGGGTAACCCGGGCAGGAACCGGGTAAACGGGTCCTACCGGGTAACAGCGGGTAACCCGGGTAACCCGGGTACCCGGGTAGACCCGGTATGTCAAATTGCCTACCTACCGGCTCGGTTCCGCCGGTTCTACCCGGTAAACGCGCGTTGAAAACAATCGAATCGTCAGCGCTGGTGGTAGAAAACGTTTATTTCGACTAATCTGTGCCAGGTCCACTAGTTTCCCGCTTAGTTTATAAGCGATTTCTGTTGATTTCGATCAATTTTTATCCTGATGATGATTCCCAGCCAGGTGTACACATGATAATTCCCGAAGTTCTTGCCCCCTCGGGGTGGCTATGGTTGGTCTGTCGTTCGTCGGAGAGGATGTTCTGCCGTTAGACTACGGTTGGCGACGGCTGGACTGCCGATTGTCTGACGATGACACATGTCATTTAACAGCGTTTTAACTATACGAATTAACAACCTTCACCCACGACAAGTCCCAGCCTACATTCAGGCCACTGTTTTGCCTCGGGTATCCTCATCCTCCTTGTGACCCGAACTGCCACAAGCTCTGCCCTTTCTCTGCAAGCTCTGCCCCTTAGTTTCCTCTTCTAGCCCGTATCGCGGCGCGCGGAGCCGCGCCAGTGTCGATTCCGCATGGAGTTGGTTCGGCTCCAAGGACGGCGCCCTTTTCCCCGCTCGCTACTCGCGCGGTGCCCGCCTTGTCACGTTATTTCCGGTCCTCTCTGGGCACACCTGTTATTCTCTCGCCAAAAGAGCAGCAGCGCAATCCGCCCCTGTTTCTATATCCTCCATTCTTGTCTGCCCCTCCCTCCCTTTCTCGTCTGCCTCTTTCTCGAGGACGAGCACTTCCACCTGGGACCTGCTTGCCCCGCTCGCCCCCCCCCCTTTTTTTCTGTGGTGCGACCCGCTACCCCCTGTCTTGCCAAACGAGATCTACATTGCGCGCGGTGCGGAGCTGCTGCCGGCGCTGTGCTCACAGATGGTCCACACATTCGTGTGTTCCTCGCCGCCGTCTTCGCCCGCATAGCAATTCGCTGTCCAGGAAGAGGTTTTCATTTCTTTCGAAACACCTGTCTGCGCACCGCATAGGTTTGCACCAGGACATCCAGACGAGGGGTGTAAGTAGGGTGTATAATAGGGCGCGTCCTCCCTACCTTAGTAAAGGAAAGACAGCTGTCTCACTGCCTCACACTATCACCAGTAAAGGAGTGACCGTTGCTAGCTCCGGGAGGGCGATTTCTTGAATCCAATTCGATCACTCCTGGGAGAGCGATTTTGAATGACGTCGCTCCTTTACAGTCATTCACGGGCGTTGGGTGATCTTGGCCGATCTCGGCCGAGACCCACTACACTGCAAAAAATTATGACAGGAAAAATGACAGCATCGACCGCTAATTATTTTCCAGCAACGTCTGTCATTCGAATAACAGTATTGCTGTAGTTTCAATGGTTAAAATTTGTTACGGAGAGCAATGCACAGGACCACGGCGTACATGTAAAACCTGTTTTGCGGATCATAGCAGTTTAACTGTAGCGAGGGGGCCTCAACTCTGTTGTAGGATGTACACCAGATTGCCAAGATTGCCAGATTGCTTGATTAATGTTTAGCTTTAAGGGCATAGATCATCTGTAACTAGGAAAAACGCACTAATGTCACCCTGAATGTCGGCAAAAAGCATGGCTTTCGCAGCCGATTACCTAGAGATTGCCGAAGATTATCGCAGATTGCCGGGGTGGCGTAAGGATAGCCAGGTAGTTCATGAATAGGACGGGTGGTTCAGTGGATTAGTTTAGTGGATAACATTAGGTGAGGCACGGATTCAACCAGGTCATGAGGTTACTCTATAAATGAGGACACAAAGGGTCCATGGGTCATAGACGCATAGGTTTATTGGGCGTAGGCCCTCTCTCTCATATCACAGGGTTACAGACACTTTACATACCACAAGGATAACAGAGTATCACAGTGACGCAGTAGCGACGTGAGGAGCGGAGTGCAGAGCGGCAGGGAGGCGAGGTGCACGGGTGCAGGTCACGGGGGTGACTGAGCAGGACTGAGCTGTGCGTCTGGCCCCTGGCCCTTATATACTTTGGAGGGCCCACCCCCGCTATCAGGGGGGAGGGAGAGGGGAGGCTGGCCAGGTGCAGGAATGCAGCGGGTCAGCTCCCCTCGTCTGGCCAGGCGGCACGACGAGACAATTGACAAGGGGTGACAAAGGCGCGAACAGGGTTTGCCATAGGGCAGAACATCTGCCTGCCCCGGTAGGTCCAAGGGGACCACCCATAATGATAAGTGAAACTAGTACGCGTAATACTGCCTCATATACTCCGTTCCTTACGGTGGGTGTACACAAGATTGCTGGAGTTGAGACCCCCTCGAACTATAGTTTCACAGTTACTGGGTTACTACACACTGTGAAAAATTTCCTCGTAAAGTTACATTTCTTG